ACGACGAGCCGAGCAGACAGCGCAACGTCCGGGTTGCGCATGAGACATCGAGCAAGACCCAACATGAAATGCCAAACCCGCAGCTAGCCAGCCATCCGTGCGCATCAATAATACCAGCATGAGAAAGGAGACAACGGCAAAAGGCAGAGCAAAGCTGCCGTGGGCGGGGACTTGACAAGGCTCTAGAGACTAGCCACCGGGGCCCCGGGGTTGCTTCCGCTGTCTGTGTGCAAGACATCTCAAAAAACTCTCGAATGGGTCGCAGCACGGGGAGCGTCCTCCGTGAGCCATCTTTGCCAAATCTAGGTAGGCATCTATATTGCTTTCTAATCACATAGATATTTCTTCTAGTGCCCATTTTCATGGCACTGTTGAGGCCATGAATGTGTCACAAAGGTGTCATCTCGCGGCTCGTACAATTTAGTTAGTTATTCCTCTTTTTTTTTTTTGGAGGGGGGTTCGTGTTAGCAAACTTCTTGCCGAGTTGGCGCTTTCTACCTGCCCTTTTTTGTCGTCGTCCATTTAATCGTGCGGGCTCTGACAGTCCATGCTTGCTGCGTCGGTCTAATTGAGCTCAGCGCCCTAGCGCACTACATCGAACGAAGTACCTAAGAAGGGAAATTCTTGGGGACGGTGGCATTGGGGGCGGGAGGGGGGAGGGGGGGGGGGGGGAAGGGGGGCAAGGATATATAGAAGAATTCACTGATCTAGAAATGTCCTCCCGGCAAATGTGCTGTCATCATGCTGGTAGATTGGACTGATCCGATAGGTCGGACGGCTAATGAAGGCGCAGGCGGACAAGGGTTGGCACAAGACAAGACGGTGATGATGAAGGTTGCCAGATGCAGGCGATGCGTGATGTGGGATGCTGGGAAACACAAGTCTGCAGGAGGCAGCAGGCCGCAGTCGCAGGGACAAATGACAAATGGCCCCCGGGGACCTGCCAGCTGCCACATCTGTCTGTTTGCATGCAAGGCTCGGTCCATGATCCTGTTGCTTTATCTGTTGATTTAAAGCTGCAGCATTGCCGTTTTTCACATTCACAGCGCGGTGCACTGGTGGTGCCAAGAGAGTGGACAGCAGTTAAACATCCCTGCCATCGTCATGGCAATTCTAGATATTGCCGCTGGCTTCGCCTGGGAGCTTGCCGCCTACACCTCCCTCGCTTGCTGGGTCGTCTATGCAGTATGCCTGGGCTTCTACAGGCTGTGGTACAGTCCCATTGCCCACCTGCCAGGCCCCAAGCTTGCCGCGCTGACGCAGTATTACGAATTCTACTATGACATTGTTCTTGGGGGCCAGTATACCTTTAGGATTGTGGAGATGCACAAGGAGTACGGCCCGGTTGTGAGGATCAGTCCCTGGGAAGTCCATGTTAGTGATCATGACTTTCATTCTGAACTCTACGCAGGGCCGCACCGCCGTCGCCACAAGTGGTTGTTCTGGGCAAAGCAGGTAAGGAAGCTTCCAAATTTGTATGGTACGGCAGCTAACCTGATGTAGTTTGGAGCACCTCGTACGTATGATGCCATCTTGGCTGGTCCATTCTGACTCCCTTCTAGACAGTGGTCTGGCGACTCTTGACCACGACCATCACCGACTCCGCCGTACCCCTTTGAACCAGTTTTTCTCGACCAAGAGCGTTCGCGATCTCCAGCCCATCCTTGAAGAAAGGGTAAATCAGCTCCTGGGTCGCCTACGTCGTGAAGGACGGAACCGTCCGACCGAGCCGATTAATCTCGTGTATCCGTTCTCGG